GGTTTCCAACTCTTAAAGTGATTACGTCACCGTAAATAGTCAATATAGTAAAAAAATATTTCCACTATTTCACAAAATAATTCTGTTAACTTTTTATGGTTAAATTGCTGCATTATACTTCCTATTTTACTATATTGTTTGATGTAAACATACACTCGTGACTCATAGACAACATACGTAGCCCATAGCAAGCAATTAATGTCAGGATCATAATATCAAAATCGTCCAGGTTTTTTGGATTTTTAACTAGTTGAGAAACAATCTTATCAGGTAAAAATTTGACGATACATTTAGTCCCGTTAGTACTTACTTTTAATGTAAAAAAAATGGCAACAAATACACACCATAGAAAATTCGTGACGTAGTCAATTTAACGTGTTTATTGCACTATCATGTATGTCTACTATGTCTACTATGTCTACTGTGTTAGTTAGGGTAGATCTTGTGCACGAATCGTAGTATTGCTCGTGATCATCTGCACTCGGTGGAGGCTGGTTGAGTAGATCACAGGATTTGGTCAGGGTTACTGCGTGGGCCGCTGGTGCCGCTAGCGCAGAGGTCGAAATCAACATATTTTCCGCTTCTCCGATACAAACTGAACTGCTGCCGTTAAAGTGGAAGCTGGCTTGCTCTTCGCTCGTATTTCGACCCCCCCTAAGACGCCCCTTAAGGGGGGCTAATGTCGGGCTTGCGAGCCGACTTGACTGGAAGCAACTGGCTGCAATTCACTGCGACTGCAGTGCTTAGGTCGGTCGACTGCGACGCGACTGCCTGCGACTGGCCGCCACTAGCTGCTCGGAATAGAACAGTGGGCAACTGGACGCAACTAGTCGCTGCCGATCGCTTCCAGTTGCTCGAAATCCAGTTGCTTCCAGTCGAGTCGGCTCGCAAGCCCGACATAAGCCCCCCTTTATGAAACATTATTGCATATTTCGGCGCTTCCCTAACGCCAGCGTGCGCTCGCGGCTTCTCTCCCCGCAGAATTACCTCGGCATGGAACAGCAGTACAAGGAGCTGAAGGAGAAGTACGACGGCCTGCTGGACGTGAAGCAGTCGCTCGAGAAGGACGTGATGTCTCTGCAGATGCTGGTAGAGCAGGAGCGAAACAACCGCTCACAGGAATCCACCAACAGCGTCGAACTAGAGAGTAAGTAACGAGGCAGGGGTGTGTGAGGCGGGGGAGGGGGAGGTAGGCAGGCTGGGGTAGTGGGAGGGGAGGGGGATGGAGAAGGACGTGATGTCTCTGCAGATGCTGGTAGAGCAGGAGCGAAACAACCGCTCACAGGAATCCACCAAGTAGATATACAAGGCACGGGTAGCGGGTGTGTGTAGCAGCCTTGGTGCAAGCAAGATTGTCACTACCCCATTCGCGGTTGCCGCTAAATCTAGATCGGGTAACCTCACCGCAGTTAATTTAGCATGTGCCTACCTGCACATGCCAAAATGTCGATTTTCTGGCCCTTTGTTTAATATAATCAGCATTCTATTTAGAATGCCATATTTTAATGCTGACTGGCAAGAGCTGCCTGTCGGTCGCACCGAGCGGATAGGTCTTTTCGACGCAATGGACACGCCACGAAAGCTTGGGCAATTAATTGCAAGTGAATCTGTGCTAGGTCGCGAGCAGTGAATACTGAGAGTTTGTGACTCTTCATGATGCCCTGTTGTGTTTTTCAGGCAAAATTAGTAACTATCAGCACACGATAGAGCGGTTAAAGGCCAAGGAACAGGAGACGCTCACGAATCAGGCGAAAAACAGAGAGCAGATCGTCCGCTTAGAGAAGGTGAGTTGATTGGCCTCGACGAGCCAGTACAAGATCAAACGTCGTAGCCTGCACATTTGAGAACACAAGAGTATAATCGTAGGCATTTGTAGCGAAAGAATGCGTGAGAAGGAGAGAAGTAAATCATCGGTCCTAGTTCCTAGCAAGGGTTTAGCGTTGGGCGAGTAAGATGCGAGCGTTGCACGCTGCCGTTGCTGAGAAGGCAAAGTAAATCAGGTCCTAGTTGCTAGCGAGAGTTTAGCATTGAGCGAATGAGGATACATGAGTGAGTTCCTCGCTGTGTGCAGGTGAAGGATTAGGTGAGAAGGAAATCTCAGTCCTAGTTGCTAGCGAGGGTTTAGGCTGGCGTTCCTGGTGTTGTCCATCGAGGCTAGTCATGGCGTTGAGCGAATAAGACGTGCAGGGTGCGAAATTAACGGGAGTCCGCAGTCAAATACTCCCTGATTTACTGTCGCACTCCCTGATTTGACATGTGACCGTGTGACTCCCTGAAAATTCTGCCATACTAACTAGTTCGTTCCGGAGCACGGCCTCGCGGAATTACTGTATTTTTTCAGCTAATGTCCGCTAGAGAATTTGGCAGACGTGCAAAACTGCATGAATCTTAAAAATAACATATGCATTATTGTTAATATCTTAAATTACGAACCTCAGACTGCGGACTCCCTCATTTTGCTGCGGACTCCCTTTTTTCGAGGGCAGGGTTGTACAAAAGTTAATTTCTACCCCTGACGTGAGTGAGTTCCTCGCTGTGCAGGCAAAGGCGATGCTGGAACTGGAGGTGAGGACGCTGCAGCACAAGCTGGACGAGGAGCAGCACCTTCACCACGAGAGCGTCATCCGCACCGAGAAGCTGCATATGAAGATGTCGCGCGAGGAGGCGAACAGCGCCGCCATCGACGGTACGCGACACGACGCTGACCCCGCGTCCATCCTCGACCTGCGTCCTTGACCCCCTTCCTTGACCCTCGACCCCCGTCCTTCACCCCTGGCCTCGACCCCCGTCCTCGACCTCCCTTCCTTGACCCTCGACTCCCATTCTCGACCCTCAATCTCCTTCCTTGACCTTAAACCTCGTTCTCGACCCTCAACCCCTGTCCTCCACCCCTGTCCTCGACCCCCGTCCTCGACCCCCATCCTCGATCCTCGTCCTTGACCCTCGACCTCCTTCCTTGACCATAACCCTTGTCCTTGACCATAACCCTTGTCCTCGACCCTCGTGCTAGACCCTTGACCTTCGATCTCCTTCCTTGACCTCGACCCTCGTCCTCACCCCTCGTCTCACCTTTTGACGGTGACTCTTGTGTGTAAGTGGGTGTGTCGGCAGACGTGAAATAAAAGCTGCAGGAGGAGAGGCATAAGATTGTAGATCGGGTTTTGACGGGTTTTAACTCCTGCATGTGTGTGTGTTTTGACTCTTGCGTGCGTGCGTGTTTTAACTCTTGCGCATGCGTGTGTTTCTACTGCAGACGTAAATCAGAAGCTGCATGAGGAGAGGGATGCGCGACAGAAGAGCGAGCAGCAGGCGCAGGAGGCCGACCGCCATCGCTCGATGCTCAGCGTCGACTACAACCAGCTGCAGCAGCAGCACCAGCGCATCGAGCAGGAGTTCCACGCCGAGATCGAAAAGGTATCTGTGCATGTGTGGGTTCGCTCGCGAGGGTTCTATCTCTGTTCACGGGCGATAGGAAACACTTTTGAGGCCACTTTATCATTTGCTCATGGAACGATCCGTACGAGTTCTGGTCCATGCGTGCGCGTGTGGTTTCATGCGTTCGTCCGGGAGTCGTGCGTGCGGGAGTCATTCTGCATGATACCAACCTTATAGTTATTATCATAGTTGCGTAGATGTTTGTACGAGGGTCGTTCCGTAGAAGTTTGAGCGTTGTTCCTACTTTGGTTCATTAGAGTTCTTGCTGCGATTGTTCTGGCTGACTTTTGCGGTTAGGATCGTTCCGCGGTCGTCTCGTGACTGTTTGGAAGTGCGCGACCGTTCAGAACCGCCGGAAGAGCGTGATCTTTGTGTTCCCAGCACAGTCTTCATTGTCTTTGCAGACGAAGAGTCTCTCGCTGAGCCTGGAGCAGGAGTCGCAGAAGCGTGCGCTGCTGCACAACGACCTGAAGCAGCAGAGCCACCAGGTGACGATGTTCAAGAACAAGGAGAAGCAGCTGACGAAGGAGGTTCACGACCTTCGCGAGCAGTCGCACATGCTGAGGGAGGAACTGCAGCGTGCAAAGACGTACGTACCCTCACCCAGGCTCCTCCCCCTCTCCCCTTCTCTCCCCCTCTCCCCCCGCGCGAGCAGACGCACACGCTGAGGGAGGAGCTGCAGCGTGCAAAGACGTACGTACCGCCACCCAGGCTCCTCCCCCTCTCCCCTTCTCCTTTTCTCCCCCTCTCCCCCTCTCCCTCCGCCATGATCGTCGAGCCGGCCTGCAGCTGTAAGACCGACCCAGCGGCGTGTAGCGAACGCGAGTGAGCCACGTGTCACTGCGGCGGCCATCGGTGCAATTTTTTTTACCTGACGATTTTTGGCATTCGGCTTGGCATAGGCCATAGGGTGTTAGGGTGATGGGGACATTAGCTTCATTGGGGCGTAAAGGTGGGGCCATTAGAGCTCTGTATCCCCTGAGTTGTGGTTGAGTGAGTCCCTCTTTAAAGTATTACTTATCGTATCTTGAGCTATATACCTGTATCATCTCCCCCGCCCCCCACTCACCACTGTCGTGTGTCGTCTTCGCAGGAGCAAGACGGTGGACGACCTTCAGATGAAGGAGCTGCAGGACCAGCTGGAGGCGGAGCAGTACTTCTCCACGCTCTACAAGAACCAGCTGCGCGAGGTCGAGGGCGAGATGGCCGAGAAGGCGTCGATGTGCGACGGCATTGAGTCCGACTATCGAGCCGTGCTCTCTGACAGGTACGTGCCACCGCCACCCTTCTCCGTCGTCCTCTCCGCTGTACTATCGAGCCGTGCTCTCCGACAGGTATGTGCCACCGCCACCCTTCTCCGTCGTCCTCTCCGCTGTACTATCGAGCCGTGCTCTCCGACAGGTACGTGCCACCGCCACCCTTCTCCATCATCCTCTCCGCTATACTATCGAG